AGGAGAGAGCTCTGCCCTGGCTGCCTCATTCGGTCACTTGCTGGCTGGCGGCAGCGCTGCTGGAGCGATAGCTCGCGGGCTGGCTGCTGGCATTGGGAGCAAGAGGCTGCGCACGTGCGGTCGTGTGGTGAAGCAGGGCGCTGCTGAGGGCAGCGCCATAGCCAGCCTCCATAGCGGGCTTGGCTTGGATGTACAGTGAGGCGCAGGGGTGGTCTTCGGGTGCAAGAGAGGACAGGTGTGGGTGTTAAGTCAAGGAAGGCCAAAGGATGATGATGATGATGATGTGAGGGCACTTACCTTGTATTGGCGATGGTCTGCATGGGCGACATCTTCAAGTACTTCGGGTTGCTGCTGATGTCAACAGTTGCATTGTCAATTAGCACGCTGTAGTAGCTGTGTTAGGAGTAGGCTGGGCGCTGAGCGCCAAGTAGGAGTGTGAATGGATTGGACTCTTGTGTTGCTGAAGGAGAGAGAAAGCTCTCCATGACATTGGTTTCCAGTACTACGAACCTCCATTGGTGTATTATTGGTGCAATGCTGCTCTCTGGACACAGTGTGACTATCTGGATTTTAATGTGATGGTGTAATCTGGATTTGTCATCTCGCTGTTGCTTATTTTCCTTGCAATTTGGTATCGGAGCTGGTTCATATTGCGCTTCATTGGTTCTTCGCAATAGTTATTGCTGCTTCGCATGAGGTGTGGGGCAGTGATAAGGCATTGGCGTTGAACATTAGGCGGCCCAGGGTAGTGTGGGCGTGCGGGGAGCTATGTGGTGACATACGGGGTGTATGCTGGATGATGAGAGCTCACTGATGTGGCATATTAAGCCGAGGTGGAACTGCATTCTGCTGTTGGTTGTGCCGAGGCAAAGACCGGTCATCATAATTGCACATCAGGTTGTCGGTGAGAAATCTGTGGTTGGGGGCAGCATTTATGAGGTGCGTTGCTCTCTTCCTTATCTACCCTCTTCATTGCTTCTTACCGTGAGGATGTGAGTTCTGTCTTGAGAGTCCTCTCGATGTGACGTGTTGCGAGCGCTCCCCTTAAGAGTCGACATTCTTCCTGGGCAGCAAGCTGGTGGGAGACGGGCGAAGCCTCTGAAGGGCCCTGGACGAAGCACTCGGGTCACGGTCACCATGCCAACCCGCTGGTGCTTGCGCAATATAGGTCATGCAGGGCATCCGAGCCCTTTGGGACAGACGCTTTCCAGACCGTCTTTAAACATTTCTGGCTGGGGACTCGGAATTGAATCTGGCTGTGATCGTCGTCCTGTCTGCGACGTTAAATAATTCTTGAGGAGATGGGGGCTCTCCTTAAATCCCTCCTGATCAGCCAGATCAACCGGGTGTAAGGCTCGTTGCATATGAGGGTAAATAAAATGCAGGGGCTGGCAGGTTCAGCGTTGACTTGGGTCACAGGGGTGGGCCGGATTGCACACCTTCAGACACGCTGCTCAACCAGATGCTCACGACGTTGACACAAAGAGACCACTCAAGAAGGATACAGGGGGAGGGGGGATTCCGGTAACTGTTCGCAATGGCAATCAACAGACAATCTGCCCTCAAGCATACATCTCCAACAGGAGATGTTATTTTTATTTTTGATTATCTAGTTGTTACAGACTAGACTAACAACTAACAGACAGCTACAGACAGACTAGATCTTTGCTGTATTGCAATCTGTTTTAGGGTAATCTAAAAATAGATTTAATATATCCTGCAGGATCTGACATTAGTTGTTACTCAGTGTGAGGGCAGCTCGAAATTAGTTGAGGGCAGCTCGAAATTGACTTGTTTCTGTTCCATCCGACTGAAATTAGTTGTGATTCATAACCGGTTGTGTGTTAGGCTAAGGGAGGATTCAGTGTGAATTCTAGTTTGAATCACACACACTGTAGCTCATGAGTGATGCAAGCACTAGCGAGGAGCAGTTGTTAGTGGACGACCGTAGTACTACTCACGGGACTGCTCGTAGTCGACCCTTGACATTCTTGGAGTTAGGTCCAGGAGACGAGAGAAAATTGTGGAGAGAGGCTAGACAGAGAGCAGCGGCAAGGAGAGTGAGGGCAGCTGAGGATAGTGCCACGACTAGAATTTCAGCTAGCACCGGTGCAGCCATGGCTACTTCATCTACCATGTCGCAAACCTCTTCACAGTCCACTTCGTCAGGAGTCAGTCAAAGTGGTTCTCAAGGGTCCATTAGTCAAACTGCTAGCTTGCGAATCAGCCAGCAGAATCAACTCACGCCGGAGGATTTAGAAATCCGGCAAGAAGAAGAACTTCAGGATGAGCTACAGCGGCAGTTGGACGAAGCAGCAGCGAGAAAGAGGAAAGCAATCATGAGAAAAGCTAGACTAGGTAGTAGAAGAGAGCAGCTAGGCAGACTGGAAGGACTAGATGAGGCAGCATTAGATCCTGCTGTTCGTGTGTAGTGCCTTACTTTCAGTGACTGAAGTGCAGAACGTCCAGCAGGAATTGCTGGCCGAATTGGTGGTAGGCCAGCAACAAATCCTGGCTGAACTTCGGGCTCCTCGCACAGCAGTGAGGCAGCCGCAGTTTGTTGTAGTTCCCCCTGCGGGTGCGGGTCCTTCATCGATGCCATAACACAGGGTCAACTTTCTCTCCTATGTTTGGCATACCCCCTCCAGGTGGTTTAGTAGCAACTAGCGGTCCGGTTCATACAGTCTCAGCCGTACCATCTACAACAGTGGTCACTACAGTCCCACTGTCAAGCCAGACCCAGGTTAGTGTGCAACAGCCTGTTTCATTGGCTATGCAGCCGCTGCAGCAAGCCCCTGGGCCCATGCAGCCTATGCAGTGGATGCCCAAGATTCCTCTGCTGAGTCCTAAACCTTTTTCTAAAGACAGGAAGAAGGATGAGGATCTAGATACCTGGGTAAGGACTGTGACTACATATGTGAGGCATAAGCTTACAAGGCCAGAGCAGGAAGTTGTAGTTGCTGCGTCCTTTCTAGAAGGATCAGCAGCACGTTGGTTGAATGGGTTAGTGCAGCCGCAGGGCTACGGTCAGAATTTCGATGCATGGGCACAGGCCCAGACAATGGAACAGTTCGTACAGACTGTGTACAGGAGGTGGCATGACCCTCAAGGGGCTCAGAAGGCCACTGATGCGATGAACAATCTGTGTGCCAAGAAGTACAAGAATGTTCGCGAAGTCACAGACACTGTAGAACGTCTGATCGTAGTACCTGGTGTGCGCTTTGACTCTCAAGTACTCCTCACAAATTATTTGAGATGTCTTCCATCAGAAGTCGGGACGAAACTGGTGGACGAAGCCTACGTAGACCAACACAGCTTTGCTACTTTCAGCAGGAAGGCCCTAGACATAGAGGCAAAGCTGGGATCCACGCATCAGGTATCCCATGATGGTAGGAAGAGACTCCCCCAGGATTGGAAGAAGAAGGGTCAGTTGATGTTCGTTGACCATGATGGTCAAACAACGGAGATTGCCGATTTCACAGATTTTGGGGAGGTGACAGAGAAGGATGGGGCCAGCGAGACTTCAGATGGGGGAGTTGTGGCACCTATCAAGGAAAAGGCTAGGGGGCCCGGGAAGAAGAAGGTAGTACGGGCCACGGGTTAGGGCGACCAAGGGACACCCGCATGGGTGAAGATTGGTTTAGATTACGAGGTGTGGAGGGACCGAGTTGCCAAGGGCACATGCATGAACTGTGGCAACTATGGCCACATGTCGCGGACATGCCGAGGCAAAAAGGTCACAACGAAGGTAGCATCGCCAACAGTGGTGGGCTTATCTTCGAACCCTGGTAGTGCTTCTGCGAGCACTTCGCACGGAAACTCCTCGGGCCAGTAGGAGTGTTAGCCGCTCTTACTCGCGCTGAAGTGGTTACGTTGCCTTCCCCACTTCAGGCGTTGGCCAAGGCTAGTGACCCACGTATCGCCCCGCAGACACATTCAGACCCACCGCCGCTCTGTTCAAGAAGTGTGTCTTAGGCCCTAGAAGAGTTAGAGACTGAGTGGTCAGGAAAGGACCCCAGGGACTCTTGGGCGATGATAGGTAGAGGTCCAAAGGGTGAACATTTCGTGGTAGAGGTCGGTGTAGGTGGCCGCAAGGTTGGCGCCTTAGCAGACATAGGCTCTACACGAAACTTCATCAGTCGTGCTTGTGTGAATAGACTGCGCTTAAGGGACCAAGTGCAGCGGCTTAGCAGAACTGTAGCTTCTACGATGGCCAACAAGCACCAAATGGTAGTGAAAGACTATGTACTACCTCGAAGTCTCGCAACCGCACCTTCTCCTATGGAGGAGGGGAAAAGATCCACAAGATTCCCTTCCTCATTAGCGACGAACTGCCATTCGATATGCTACTGGACATGTACTACCTCAAAGTCTCGCAACCGCAGTTTGACTGGGATAGAAAGGTGTTGATACACAAGTTGCCAAATGGTAGGACCGTTAGGCTGCAGAAGTACAAGGCTAGCAGTCTAGTGAAGAACTACGACTGCATGTGCGCTTCTTCTTTCTATAGCTATTACAAGCAGAATCGCTAGGAGGGCATGTATCTAGTGTTTGTCTCTGAGAAAGGGGAGACCGTTAAATCACCCCCAGAGATACAAAAAGTCGTCGCTCAATATTCGGACCTTTTTTAGGAGCCCACAGGCGTTGGTAGAAAGGGAGGTTGTCCATGCAATAGAGGTTGTCCCAAGTAGTAAGGTGCCTAGAAGACGAATCTATAGGATGTCTCCAGCAGAGTTAGATGAGCTTCGCCACCAGCTCAAGGAGCTCACAGAGAAGGGATGGATCCGGCCTAGTACCTCCCCTTACGGTGCGCCAGTCTTATTTATCCCAAAGAAGGGAGGTCCATTAAGGATGTGCATTGACTATAGGGGCCTCAATGCCATCACCGTAAAGAATGTCGAGCCCCTACCCCACATCGACGACCTCTGGATAGAGTGCAGGGATGCCAGTACTTCACCAAGATAGATCTGACGTCCGGATACCATCAAATTGCTGTTAGACCGAGGACCAGCACAAAACCGCATTTCTACCCAATGCATCTGGTACATTCCAGCACACGATGAACAGGATATTTCATGACTACTTAGACAAGTTTATCGTCGTGTACCTCGATGATATTCTTATGTTTAGTAGGACTGTAGAGGAGCACGCTGAGCACTTGAAAATAGTGCTAGGTCTCTTACGACAGCACCAGTACAAGGTAAACTTGGACAAATGCAAGTTTGGTCGCACCAAGATCTTGTACTTGGGTCATGAAATCTCAGCAGATGGATTAAAGCTGGAAGATGCCAAGGTGGCCAGCATACGTGACTGGCCCAAACCTCAGACAGTTACTGAGGTCAGATCGTTTTGGGGGATGACGGGCTACTATCATCCGTTTGTGAAGAACTATCGTACTATAGCCTCCCCATTAACGAATCTAACTCGACTTGACACCCCTTGGGAGTGGACTGAAGAGTGTGAGGCAAACTTCAAGAAATTGAAGTATGCTCTAACACACTTTGGAGTTCTCAAACTTCCTGATCCTGACAAACCGTTTGTTGTGACCACAGATGCCAGCCAATATGGCATAGGCGCGGTCCTTGCGCAACAGGAGGGGCCAAAGTTGAAACCGATCAAGTATATAAGTAAAAAGATGCCTTCCCAGAAGTTAGCTAAGTCCACGTATGAGAGAGAACTCTACGCCCTGTACAGAGCGCTTGTTCATTGGAGACACTACCTCCTAGGGAGATTCTTCTATGTAAGGTCGGACCATGAGACTTTGCGCCGGATTCAGACACAGCCTGTTCAGTCGGACGTACTCAAAAGATGGATTGAAGTGATAGACATGTATGACTATCAACTTGATCCTATCAAGGGTAAGTACAACAAAGTGGCTGATGCATTATCACGAAGGGTGGACTATTTGGGCGCGCTAGTCACTGAGTTTGGCATATCTGATGAACTCACTCGATCGTTGGTGGAAGCCTATCAGAGAGATCCAGTTATGTCAGAGATCACCCGTAGATTCCAAGCAAGGGGCAAAAAGACTTAGGACGAATTTACGATGGTAGATGGCTTGCTGTTTCTCGAGAAGGAAGAGAATAAAAGATTGTGTGTCCCGTATAGTGAGTCTTTACGCAGTTTATTTTTAGGCGAGTGTCATATCCCAACTGGTCATTTTGGATATAAAAAGACCTCAGCTAACCTAGTGCAGAGATTTTGGTGGCCCACTATGATGCAAGATACGAAAAGGTATGTTGAAACTTGCCAGGTCTGTCAAAGGGACAAACCTAGGATTCAGGCTCCACTTGGGCTCATCAAGCCCTTGCCGATTCCTGAAGGTCTTGGTCAAAGTGTGTCCATGGACTTCATGGATACTTTTGTGACCTGTAAGTCTGGAAAGAGGCATATCTTCGTGATAGTGACATATCTTCATGATAGTAGACCGCTTTACTAAATATGCAAGACTGATCGCTATGCCAGAAATTGTGAAAACTGACTATGTCATCAAACTGTTTCTGGATCACTGGGTTAGGGATTTTGGACTACCCACATCAATAGTGAGTGATAGGGATGTAAGGTTTAACAGTGAACTGTGGCAGGCAACTGCTGAACAAATGGGAACCAATCTCCAAATGACTTCAGGGAATCACCCTGAGTCAAATGGTCAGGCAGAACAAATGAACCGGGTAGTACAGCACCTGCTTCGGCATTATATTAAGCCAAGTCAGGGTGACTGGGACGAGCAGTTACCTCTCGTCGCCAACCTGTACAATAACGATATGCATAGTACTACAAGTATGACTCCCGACCAGCTACATCTTGGTTGGAAACCCACAACTGCGCTTGACTTTCTTCTACCGAAAAGGCAACCCACTGCAGCCCCTGCCAGCATTGAGTATGCTATCAAGTATAAACAGATGCTGCAGAAGGCAGTGAAACATATTAAGAAGTCTCAAGATGCTATGATTGCATCTGAGAACAAACATAGACGGCCTTCTAACTTTCAGGTAGGTGAGAGAGTCTGGTTGGGTCATCTGAATTGAGTCCGGAGATAGGGATCTCAAGAAAGTTGATGCCACAGTACTTTAGGCCCTTGGAGATCTTAGATATTGTAGGGGATCAACCAGATGGGCCTTCATATGTGATTCGCATCCCTGCGCACTTGCAGACTTACCCTGTTTTCCATGCATCCAAGCTGGCACCTTTCGCTGCCACAGACCAGTTTCTCTCTCGGAGATCAATGCTGCCCCCAACCATGGATGGCGAAGTGGACATTGACCAGGTTGTCGAGCACCGAGTGATGCCTGTTCCTCGACCATCCGGCAAAGGACGCCCTCCTAAACCGAGAATGCAGTATCATGTGAGCTTCAGACATCATCTGGATCCTAAAGAAGATCGGTGGTTCACACGAGAAGAGCTCATGAGAACAGCACCTCAAGTGATTGCAGGCTATGAAAGATTACTCAAAGGGAAAATGCCTACAGAATAAGAGACTTCTCTGAGGACCTACGAAGTAAAGGAGGAGGGAATGCGAGGATTTGGGTCCTCGGTAGGCCTATGGGGCCCTGTTTGCAGCATTGCCCGCCCTAAGTGAAGGCGGAGGTGCCCGCCCTAAGTGAACACAGGCCTGACATATCGCAAGAGGCCCTCAACTGTCAATTTCATATTTGGGGTCCAGGTAGTTGCGACGCGCCAGTTGGTTGAAAGAAACTCAGGCCGGGCAACACAGACATTACCTCGGCCTTCCGGGCTTTTCCAAAAGAATGCAGGCCCTGGGCGTATTTCACAGCCTCATACAGAGATAGTTGGGCGCCCAACCGAACGAGGCCCAGCAGCTCAGTAGCTGCTGTACCCAGGCATCCTGCTGGGGCCTTCCGGAAGCTTCTGGGCCCAGGCCAGTGCAGCCAGGCTGCGCGAGCAGGCCAACTCTTTCCATAAAGGAGAGAGCTCTGCCCTGGCTGCCTCATTCGGTCACTTGCTGGCTGGCGGCAGCGCTGCTGGAGCGATAGCTCGCGGGCTGGCTGCTGGCATTGNAGGAGAGAGCTCTGCCCTGGCTGCCTCATTCGGTCACTTGCTGGCTGGCGGCAGCGCTGCTGGAGCGATAGCTCGCGGGCTGGCTGCTGGCATTGCGAGCAAGAGGCTGCGCACGTGCGGTCGTGTGGTGAAGCAGGGCGCTGCTGAGGGCAGCGCCATAGCCAGCCTCCATAACGGGCTTGGCTTGGATGTACAGTGAGGTGCAGGGGTGGTCTTCGGGTGCAAGAGAGGACAGGTGTGGGTGTTAAGTCAAGGAAGGGCGAAGCATGATGATGATGATGATGTGAGGGCACTTACCTTGTGTTGGCGATGGTCTGCATGGGCGACATCTTCAAGTACTTCGGGTTGCTGCTGATGTCAACAGTTGCATTCTCAATTAGTAGGCAGTAGTAGCTGTGTTAGAAGTAGGCTGGGCGTTGAGCGCCAAGTAGGAGTGTGAAGGGACTGGACTCTTGTGTTGCTGAAGGAGAGAAAGCTTTCCATGACATTGGTTTTCAGTACTACGAACCTCCATTGGTGTATTATTGGTGCAATGCTGCTCTCTGGACACAGTGTGACTATCTGGCTTGTAATGTGATGGTGTAATCTGGATTTGTCATCTCGCTGTTGCTTATTTTCCTTGCATATATATATATAGTCACAAACAGAACTGCCCGGTAAACAGTAGGAAGAGAGA